AGATAGAAAACTTTGAATCAGTCTGACTGGATGATCTGGTGAACTGGAGCTATAGAAATAAACTGAATAGAATCAAATACCTCTGGAATATTTACACATTTTCTAACCAGAAACTTCAACATATTTTATCGGGATTTTAGGCAATAGACCGAAACGAGAACGAAGCTGCAGAAACAAACACAAAGTTAAATGTTCTTCATTAATTCTCTGCTTTTTACTGGTTTCCTGTTTCAAACCTTCACTGAAAACTTCAGCATTTTGTTTATTGGCTGAAAGGAGCTGAATACTAAGAACTTCATAACTGATTCAGTTTCATAACTTAAAACAAATTATTATTCACTGAATAATAATTAAAAACTGTTCATGTTTCTGCTGCAGTTTAAGTTATTTTTCATTTTAAATCTTTTATTCCACTTTTAAGAACTTAAACCTTTAAATTTCCCCCAGAGTCTCGCATCTTGGTGGAAAAATATGAACATTGGATTAATTAGTGGGCTAAACGCCCCCTAGTGGCAGTACAGCAGACTGGCCCATTTTAAACATGCATTCAACTTTTTTATATTCATATTTTTAATCATACAGTAAAATAAAGTTTTATTAATGCAACAAACTTTCCTTAAAAGTGGAATTTTCATATTTTTCAGTTTAAATTAGATATTTTTATTTTACAGTAATTTGTAACGTAGAAAAGCAAGAACTAGAGAGGATATTTAAAGACATTCTGGTTTATTAAAATCATTTATTTTACAAAATGAACAGATTTACATGAAAGGAATGCAGCATCACTCCAACAGGTGCAGCCTCTGGCTCCGCCCCCTCCAGGTGACACATCAGCCGACGGCTGATCTGACGGTTTTATTTACAGAAAAAAACATTTTTATCTTTTAAATGTTCCACTGAAACACTCCGCTTTAACTAGAATAATCGTCCCGGTTCTTTGATGGCTGATGCTTTACAGCGTCTCTGAAGATGCAGCTTCTAGAAACGGATTTCTGCGTCCTTCTCCGTCGGGTTCACACGGTGGACGGCTTCATCAGCGCCTGCTCCCCAAACAGCTGCTTGAAGTAGGCCACGTGCTCCTCGCAGTGTTCCCCTGGCAACAGATGCAGCGTTAACCAGACCTCTGCACTCTAGGACAGCTTTTCTATAGATCTGAATTAGATCAACCACACATTCCTTCATCTCTGGTTCTTTTATCTCCATTCATCCCAATTCACAGCAAAAAAACATCACATTTGATTAAATACATTTATTTTCCTTCAATAAAGGAGAGAATAAACTAATCTGCTTTAATTAAAAGAAAAAACGACAAAAATCCTCTTTTTTTGATCATCATCTTATTCAAATTAAACTTTTTATTTATTTTCAGATCAATTTCAGCAGAAAAGCTGATTGGAAATGTCTTCCTGAGAAGCTCCAACTCTAGAATGAGAAGATCTGTAATCTACAGCCATTTAAAGGATTAAAGGAAAGCAGGATGTTGAACGAGCAGGAAGCCGTTTAACTCTTTCCTCTCCATCTTTAATATTTAGACGTAAAGATTTTTTAACCTTAACTCCTTTTTCACCGAACGAGGCTGAAAATCTGGAACTATTGAAGAGAAATATCTCCAACCAGGAAGCGGGTCGGACGGTTCTGGCCGTAGAACCGGATCCGTTTTCAGGTTAATCCCAGTTAGGGAGCAAATTACGCCTTAAATTGCAAATGAGACTTAATTTAAGTCCAGTTTCCAAACTATAAATTGGAAATAGTTTATATTTGTATAACAGAAAAGCATCGAGGGATAGTTTTCAGGTGGAACCATTATCCTAAATGTCACCAGTTCTGATTTATAGGCAATTAAATAAATAAATGTTAAAAAAAAAGTAGCCTAGCCGAAATCTTTTCCAAAATAAACACCATGAAAGCCCATTAGAAACTCAGACTTCATAGATCCACATGTTGACTATAAATCAAGCTAATTTGGACGGAATAATTTGAAACATGTTTGTTCCATAAAGGTTTTAGTGGAAAGTGAGCTGAGAGGAACTGGGATTATGGGACAAATCCAAATGTGCAAAAATGCATTTTTCTCCTCATCAAAGTGAATCTAATCAGAGAAATATTCTGATTTCCATTAATGGAGACTTTCTGCATGAAGCAAAGCCTTTGATCCTCAGATTTTATCATTATTTCATTGACATTTACCAATAAAATCACCAAACTGGATAGAAAATAAAAACAGAGCAGCTTATGTAACGCATGCCGGTTACATCACCTGAAATGGTCAAACAATGACCTCTGACCCCTCCTTGGAGAGGTCAGAGTCTCTAGTTTCCAATGATGGCGGCGATTAGGGGGCGGGGCTTAAAAATGAATACCTGCTGATGCATTACTCCTGCAGAGTCACATTTCACGTGGAATTTTAAATCTCATTTTATTTGTTTACGCAGCTATAAAACAAAAATTATTTGTGTAAAAATTATTTTAAAACATGTTTTAGAAATTTTAAAGCCCCGTTTGGAAGGCGTGTGGATGAAACACCATGTGACTGACTTTGGCTCATTTCTATAAATAGTTAAACATGAGCAGGGGTCAGCTGGGCCCTGGACCGGACCCTCCGGGCTTCAGGAGTTCCCTGATTGGTTTGGAATCAGGCGAAGCTCCGCCTTCCATCCATCCCGAATGTTTGCTTCCATTCCTCGTTTTTTCGTAAAAAAGAAAAAGAAAATTCGGGCTAAAAAACAAACATCAGCAGAACATTTGGTGGATCGATGGGAGAAGAATCAGCACCGGAAACCCTTTAACTACAGATGAGTTTCTAGAACCATCCGTCCTCCATCTTGTTTTTATTAGCATAAAGTGACCATAAAGCAGAACCTCTGGTTCTGGTTCTGACCTGGGTTGAAGGACGGGTTTCCTCTGAGACGCTGGTTCCGTTGCTGGAACGACCGGAACACGGTGTAGAACAACATCTGGTCCCCCGTCTGGCGTGCCGCGTCCAGAAACTTCCGGGCCGACACGTTGTCGTGGGCGCCTGGATCAGAACCAACATGTCAGCAGGAGCGACCGGGAAAGTTCTGGACCAGAATATGCGACAGACGTACCGACGCTGCGGATGAAGCGGAGCGCGCCCAGAACCTGCTGCTTGGACAGCAGAACCTCCACGATCTCGTCGTTGGCCGTGGAGAGGCGCTGCAGAATCAACAACAGAACCGGGTCAACATGGTGGGGGGAGGAGCTAGAAGGGAGCGTCCGCGGTGCGGCGGTACCTTCAGCATGTCCAGAGACAGCTGGTGAGCAGGAGGGTAGGTGCTCTCCAGAGACAGCAGCAGGCAGGCCTGCAGGAAGAAGAAGATTCTGGAATCACTAAAACTTTCTGCGTAAAAAAACAAACAAACACTTTGTCTAAAAGTTCCTTCTTCCTCCTGAATCATCGGGAGTTCCTCAGCAGCTCCTCTGGAACAAACTGGATCCACCGGATGTTTAGACCTTAGATTTACGACCACAGGGTTCATTAGCGGCACATTCAGCGCACAACGTATTGATCGCAGTGGGTAGTTACGTTAAAACATTTGCTACGTTAAAACACAGCAGCCGTCAAAACCGTCGGAGCTGCTGCTTCGAAACAGCCTGCGTTACTATGTCATAACCGTCGCCGTTACTTTAAGAACAATCAGCGTTACTACATAAAGCCGTTGCCGTTACTAGGTTAAATAGGTTGCTGTTACTTTAAAAACCATCGGCATTAATACGATAAAAACCATCACGTTAATACGTTAAAACCGTCCGTCCGCGTCACTGCGTTAAAACCGTAGCCTTCTTCCTGTGTTAACACCGTCGGCGTTCCTGCGTTAAAACCGTCGGCGTTCCTGCGTTAAAACCATCGGCGTCACTGCGTTAAAACTGTAGCCTTCTTCCTGCGTTAACACCGTCGGCGTTCCTGCGTTAACACCGTAGCCGTTCCTGCGTTAAAACCGTAGCCGTTCCTGCGTTAACAACGTAGCCGTTCCTGCGTTAAAACCGTCTGTTGGCGTCACTGCGTTAACAACGTAGCCGTTCCTGCGTTAAAACCGTCTGTTGGCATCGCTGCGTTAAAACCCTAGCCTTCTTCCTGCGTTAACACCGTCGGCGTTCCTGCGTTAAAACCGTCAGCGTCAATGCGTTAAAACCGTAGCCTTCTTCCTGCGTTAACACTGTCGGCGTTCCTGCGTTAACACCGTAGCCGTTCCTGCGTTAACAGTGTAGCCGTTCCTGCGTTAAAACTGTAGCCGTTCCTGAGTTAACACCGTCGGCGTTACTGCGTTAACACCGTCGGCATCATTGCGTTAAAACCGTAGGCGTTACTGCGTTAAGTGTCACTGCGTTAAAACAGTCGGTCGGCGTTATGTTAAAACAGTTTCGTTATATACGGGACCTTTAAAAATAATGAAGCTGTCGCTCAACTGTGCGGGTCGACCCATTAAATGAGGTTCTGCTTCAGTTCTGCTGTGTTTAGCTAATGGGACGGAGCCCGGCTTCCGGACCAGAACTCACCAGCGGTTTGGAGTCGCTCAGGACGTGGTACTGGAGGAACTGGTGCAGCATGTAGAACAGGCTGTTCTGGACCAGGGTCTTGATGACCAGCTCGTACAGGTAGTGCTGAAACACAGCGGTCAGAGCGAAGGGTAAGACGGACGCAGAACCGGTCCAGGCGGGAGCCGCGGTCCGGTCCTACCTGGACGGTCCGATCTTACCTGGACGGTGATCTGGTTCTGGTTCAGAGAGCGGATGTACTCCATCAGAACCGCTATGATGAACTTATGGGACACGTCCTGCAGGAGACAAAGCAGGTTCTGATGAAGCTACCCATCATCATCATCATCATCATCGTTATGATGGCGTTATTGGACCCAGCTCCGTTCAGACGGTTCTGAAGAATTTCACTTATTTTAATCCTTAATCTTCTGCTAAATATTTACTCTTTGGTGTAATGAGCTCAGAGATCCAGCAGGGGGCGCCAAACATCCCTACAGCAGAACTCAGAGCGCCAAGAAACCAGAAACCAGAGGAAGTTCTGCTGGTTCTGGTCCTCTGGGTTCCCTGCAGCCATTTTTAGAGCCATTCATGGTCCCTGCTGATCAGCTTCATACAGGATCTGGATCAGAACCGGGTCCAGGCTGCTGTCAAAGCGAGCTGGAGTTCTATTGGACCGGATCAGAACCACAGGCTGAGGCCCAGGATGTGGGACGGACGGCGCTTGGTACTGATCCAGTAACCTTTGATTGGACTTCATCTGTGAAACCAGAACCAGCAGAACTTTGCTGGATTCTAACAGGTCCAGCTCTGGACTCCGGACCCCCCCCCCCACCGCTGTCAGTACCTTCCTCTCCGTGAACGCCGACAGGACGTGTGTGTACATGTCCGACTGGTCGATGACCGCCTGCGTCCTGACGGGCCGTTTCTGAGCGGCGGCGCCTCGAGTCGGACCCGATTCCACCGCCTACAGAAGACAGAACCGTGTTTAGGGGAAGGCTTGTGGTTTCGGACTCACCGCCGGTCCCTGAACTCACCGCCGTGTAGCTCTGCTCCGCCTCCAGGTACTCCTTGTACACCTGGTTGAGTTTGTCAAAGACGGTCGCCACGACGGGAAGGCTGCCGTTCTCCTGCGCCTCCAGAACTGGAAGAGGAAGAGAGACGTTAGCCGGTCCGCGGCGCACGGCCGGTTCTGTCCGGCGGCGGCGGCTCAGACCTACTCTGCGAGCACACAGACAGGATGACCATCTTGCAGTCCCGGCGCCGCAGCAGGAAGTCCATCAGTTTGCCTTTGTCCTGCAGCAGGCGGACAGCAGGGGGCAGCCTCACCTGCAGGTACCACAGGTAGCCTGGAGAACAGGGGGAACCAATCAGAAACATCCTCCTGCTGATTGGTTCAGAGGAAACAGGAAGTGAGACAAACCTTCGCTGGCGCTGATGATGATGTCGGGCTGGAAGACGCTCCACGATGAAGAATCTGGACCCAGAAATCAGGAAAACCACCTAAAAGACGACGCCTGCTCAGAGCGTCAGGGTCAGAACCGGCTTCTAGAACCACGGTTCTGACCCTAACGGACCTTCTGCTCATTGATCCGCTGAGCAGGAACCAAACAGAACCGGGAATCGGACCCAGAACCGAATCCTCTGATCTTCAGGAGGAACAAGAAAGAAAGAAAGAACTAAACCTTATGAAGGTTCTACTGGATTCTGCTGCCAATTGGCGAAAAGACTCGACCCGACGAGTCCGAGACCAGAACCGCAGAAAGAAGACGAGATTTAGGGAATAAAAGAGAACAAACCGCAGCAGGTTTATCAAACTCATCCTGAAAGTAAACTTCTGCTCCATCCAGATCAAACCAAACAGAAACTCTGATCTGATAAATAGAGAAATACCAGGGTAACATAGATACGGGATAAATAGATTCAACAACGGAGGGAAATTTTCGTTTTTCAAAGCATCAAACCGTTTTCAGGGTTTCACTCTGAGGCTAAAAGCAGAAATTAGTTGATGAGAAATGCTGGTTTCCATGGCGATGGGAGCTTCTTTGGTGCGTTTTCTTCTTCTTCTACCAGAATCACCGTAACTCCGCTTTAATTCTATGTTTTTCAATCGTTAAGTTTGAATCGCGTCTGGATTTAATTTCCTAAAAACTTTAAAAAAAAGGAAGAAA